TGGATCCTGAAATACCCTTCTGGTGTGTTAAAGTTTGGTAGAGCCCACTATGATCCAAAAGATCTCGGAGTCGTGGTACAGTACATTGATGGTGTTGGTTTCATGAAAAGTATGGTGACTTTTTTCGAACAAAGGCGCATATTAAATTACCAAGGACCCCATCTCGGTAGCAGCTATACAGCATCCGATGAAAGAGAATGTACGTGAAATTTCGTTGGGATGGAGATGATCTGCTAACGGATACCAAATCCACACACGTACGCTCCAATTACTCACCAGTATTGAAGATCCATAAAATGTTGGCCTAAAAGATGGGATCGTTGAAGGAGAGAAGCCCTGAAAATTATGACTTGGGACCCAATTTACGTCAAGAGTTTTTTTTACCGACACGGTACCCAATTTAGAAACGATGACACACGATCTGAAAAACGACAGGGGTGAGCCTGTGTTTTGGCTGATAGCAGAAGACCTTTTTNCAAGATTCGACTACCCCACCCCATCAGGTTGCAAGGATCGAGTTGGAAAGTGGGATTAATTAGCATCTCGCTACCAGATGTGAAAGTTCATTTCCCCAACTTGGTCAATGGTAACGACATCCTGTTTACCATGGATTGGATCCTGAAATACCCTTCTGGTGTGTTAAAGTTTGGTAGAGCCCACTATGATCCAAAAGATCTCGGAGCCGTGGTACAGTACATTGATGGTGTTGGTTTCATGAAAAGATGGTGACTTTTTTCGAACAGAGGCGCATCTTAAATTACCAAGGACCCCATCTCGGTAGCATCTATACAGCATCCAATGGAAAGAGAATGTACGTGGGATGGAGATGATCTGCTAACGGATAACAAATCCACACACGTATGCCCCAATTACTCACCAGCATTGAAGATCAATAAAATGTTGGCCTTAAAGATGGCATGGTTGAAGGAGAGAAACCCTGAAAATTATGACTTGGGACCCAATTTATGTCAAGAGTTTTTTACCGACACGGTACCCAATTTAGAAACCATGACACACGATCTGAAAAACGACAGGGGTGAGCCTGTGTTTTGGCTGATAGCAGAAGACCTTTTTCATCTGAGTGTTACTTGCAATTGGCACTTCACGAATCTCAACAAAGCCTTTCAAAACCTGGTGGGCTCGACGTCACGTTCCTTGTTTATCTATTCTGATGTGGGAGGAAGTTCTGAGGTGGGAAATCAAGTCACGGATCTATTGCGAGAGGTCAATTATCGACGAACAGGGGATGGAAGTCATTACTTTGAACCGCTCCACGTTCAATATATTCTGTTGCGCAAGGCCCAGTTGGACATTATTGAGACGCAAGTGTCGGAGACCACAGGTGAATTGACCGAATTTGGTGAAGGAAACACGATTCTCACCCATCACTTCAAACGAGCATGAAAGGTNTTACTTGCAATTGGCGCTTCACGAATCTCAACAAAGCCTTTCAAAACGTGGTGGGCTCGACGTCACGTTCTTTGCATATCTATTCCGACGTGGGAGGAAGTTCTGCGGTGGGAAATCAAGTCACGGATCTATTGTGAGAGGTCAATTATCGACGCACAGGGGATGGAAGTCATTACTTTGAACCACTCCACGTTCAATATATTCCGTTGTGCAAGGCCCAGTTGGACATTATTGAGAAGCAAGTGTCGGAGACCACAGGTGAATTGACCGAATTTGGTGAAGGAAACACGATTCTCACCCTTCACTTCAAACGAGAATGAAAGGTGGAAGTTTAACACGATTCAAACCTGCCCCACAAGGTGGAGGTGGCTTTGTTCATGAACTGCTGAAAGCGAGTGTTAGAGGAGGTCTGAAAGGGTTAAAAAGCGGTCGCGGCGCTCGAGATCGCATTCGAAAGGCGAAAGAGGGTGCGAAACGGAGTGTTAAACAAGCAGTGAAACATAAAGCTTATGAAGTCCTAGATAGAAACATCAAGTGAAAATTCAACGACATCTTCAGTGAATAATGAATTCCATCTACTCCAGAGGCTTGAGACTCATCAAATCTAGAAAGGGGTTGTCAACGTCATGTTGTGAAGGGTTCCCAAAAACCTCCAAACGTCGACAAAAGGTACAAAAAGGCGGATGGATTGGTCCTGATGTCAGTAAACCTGTTGGCTACGATTGGGTTCACATCTTAGCGAGAAGACAACAGAGAAGAAGAAGAAAAATATGATGGATACCTTGGTGGACGGTGGCTTGTTACATCCGGGTTCCAAATCAGTCCTGAGTCCTCAACTGAACCTGTTCACCGTTCCACCCACTGATCTCAGCATGTCTAGTTATCGCATTGTACCCATTCAGACCTACACGACAGGCATCAACCCCGTGGAATTCCAAGTGGATCCTCAAGAAGATTGTGTGGATCTCAGTCGAAGTTTCTTTGAGATTGAGTTGGCACTCAAACTGGCGAATGGTGATAATGTAGTCCAAGCCACGAGACTCTGGCCCATGAACAATTTGGCCCACACTTTGTTCAANTTTGAGATTGAGTTGGCACTCAAACTGGCGAATGGTGATAATGTAGTCCAAGCCACGAGACTCTGGCCCATGAACAATTTGGCCCACACTTTGTTCAAACAGATCAGTGTGAGACTCAATGGTACCTTGATCAGTCCTCAGACCGACACTTATCACTACAAAGCATACCTGGAAACATTGCTCAACTACAACAGAGATGATGGAGAAACTGTGCTAAAACCTCAAGGTTGGTACAATGCCCTGGACTTTCCAGCGCAATTGACTGTGAACAACAGAAACACGGAAGGAGATGGGCATGAGGTTTTCCAAGCATTGTCCTCCAACCAACAAGCTTCAGTGCAACTCATGAAAGCAGAACAAGGCAATTACATGGATGGAAAATGACACATGCTAAGGTTCACACCCCCCATTGAGGTGTTCCACTTAAAAAAATTGCTTGTACCTGGTGTGCAGACTGGAATCCAGATGTACTTCAATTCTCCCAATTTGTTCTTGAATGGTGTGGACGTAGCTGGAAGATTGACACACGAGGTCAAAGTGAGAATGTACCTGTGTCAAGTAAGGCTCAACCCCAGTGTCTACCGAGAGTTGATGACGAAAATGAATGTCAACAGAACCATAGTGGCTTACCCGACCGTGAGGAGTGAAATCAGGACCTTCAACATGCAAAGGAACCTGCAAAGATACGAGTGCAACAATTTATTTCAAGGCAGAATTCCTAACAGAGTCATCGTTGGGCTTGTGCTTTCAGAAGCCTTCAATGGTACTGTGGCAC